TATATTTAATCACATCTCTCTAATAGGTGGTGCAATCTGTTAATATAACTTACTCAAGAAAATCTTATGCAGATATACACTAACTGGCATGTGCTAAGATTGGCTTCTTCAGGTTAGAATATAAGACAAAACTATTTTTAAAGAAAATGTGTTGGGATTTTTTTAGGATAAACAGGGCAATAAATTAAATTACCTTATCAGATCCAAGAACCAGAGATCATGTTTGTTTGTTTTTTCTTTATATATATATATATATATATATATATATAGTATATATTTGTGCAGCATGCAGCTTTTGAAGACCTAATTTTAAAGTTAGTTTTAAAGGTGTCGCATTATACACGAGATATAAAATTAGCATATGTACTGCTGGCACTGGCCACGCCATTGACCAAATTATACATCCATTTAGCATAGTCAAAAAGTACAGCTGTATTTAAAATAAACATGATTTTGATAAAATTGATGTTTTGTTTAACTGTATCCAATAATAATACATGTAATATTCGTATATTAGGATTGTATTATAAAAAACAAACATAGCAAATATGCATCTTTTCCATTATTTACATTTATAAAATGTTTAGCTGCTTCTTGTTCAGTTGTTTGTATCTGTACACATTTACACAATGAGTATAGCATTACTAACAATATATTTTTCATGCTCTTTTACTTTTTAACTTATTTAACTAGAAGATAGGATAGAGAGATAAAGAAAAAGAGGTTAGTCTATTGTAGTTTGGTCTCACATAAAAGGAACTTGCATGATGCACGAGATACATGATAAAATAATTTTTTATAAGTGAAAAGTTGGGGGGCACACAATATGCAAGATTGTACATTTTCACGGGTATATACAGTAAATGCCATTCAATAAACTTTGGGCTGCACACAAACTCATGTGGATGCACTGAACAGTTCTTAGGCAAACTCACTTCCAAAAATCTGATTAAATCAACAAACATCAGACTTTTTGAAAGGATATCTTAGAACATTTTAGCACCTCTTGTATACAGACATGCTTTCTGCTACATTATGGTAATGTCAATATCAACTGTTTCCTTATAAGGAAATATTTGGCATTCATTGACCAAGCAACTATTGCCAATTTAGTTATGCTTTTCTTTACTCACTGACCATACTAATGATACTTTTCTTTTACTTTTTTAACTTATTTAACTAGATAATGGGATAAAGAGAGGAAAAGAGGTTAGTCTATTTAATTTGGTCTCTCTTGAAAAAAAAAAGAACTTGTATGATACACAAGATGCATGATAAAATCATTTTTCATTAGTGAAAATTTGAGAGTTGCATGATATGCGAGATGCCACACATGTACAGCCTGTATATATATATATATATATATATATATACACATACCATAAACAACAATATATCCCCCACTGATACAAGTAAAAAAAAAATAAAATTAATTATATACTAAACTAAATTTAATGCAACCAACCTAGTTGTACAAAATAATTCTTCTCTGTCAACTAGAATCTTACAAAAGACCAACATTGTATATTAGTTTAAATGTCCTTTCGGAGATTGCATCTCTGATAAAAATATAAATACTTATGTTGGTTTTACAATAATGACGTTGACAAGACAGCATATGTTTCACTTGAATGAGCATAATTTAATCTCAGAACATTTAAAGGAACCCTCATGTCCACATTCACAATTTAGACAGATATTAGTTGAAAATATATTAGTACTTGATCAAAATAATAATAAACAAAAACTTAAAATTCTGAAAGCCATTTATGTAAGAAAATTGCAGCCAAAAATATATAAAGTAAACTATGAGTATAGCAACAAAATTCTTAAATATTTGCAACAGCCAAGTTTTATATAAAATATTAGATTAAAATATTATAACTAAATCTTTTTCATGTTTTAAATATTAAAATAAAAAAGTTACAAATTTGACCCCACCCCCAACTGCATTTTTGAATTTGGAAAATCATAAATGAACAGTGAAAAAATATTTTGAATTTACAGAGCTACTGTATGCACATATATTTTAACCCCCCCCCGGAAGATGGTCTCAGATGAGATTTAAAGTACTTGGGAAAATAAAAATTATTTGAAAGAAAATTTAGGAATTTTTCTTAATCAATTTTCTACAGCCACCAAGAAATTAATTTGTAGACTAGAAAGGATTAAAACTAAAATAATAGACATATGTCTAAAATATTTAACCAAACATGCTTGAATGTATATACATATATGTGTTTGTGTTTGTATATATATATATATATATATATGAATCTTTTAAAAGAAGTGTGATTGTGTGTATGTAATAATGAAAATCAACAAACTGTTTAAATATCGGTTGAGATTTTCATTTTCATGCCTATTTCTTTTATATTTACTTTTATAGACATGTGATTGAATCTCATGTTGTCTTACATAAGAATCAATAAGAAGGTTGACAGAAAACATCACCAAATATTCAGCTAGCATGAAAAGATATACAATAAAAGAAGAAACAAGTATCAATTAGCTGAATAATGTAATTTAAATGCTCTTATCCAGGCGAACTGTTGAAAGGTCAGACCATCTATTTTTCTTTACAATATCAAATATCAGTTTGTTTTTTTTTATTTCTCTTTTTTTTTCTTTCTTTTTTATTTTCTTTTTCTTTCTCAAGCGTCTGTGTTTTTCTACCTTTGCTTTTTGGTTCTTAACTTTCTTCTAATTTCTTCTTTGTGATCTACCGTCAATCTGTTCTCATTCTTCTCATCATTGCAATACCAGTTTTGTGTAACTGCTTTAATTAGTTCATAAGCAAATGTTTTCATTGACTTTGTAATTTAATTACTATAAACATATATCAGTAATAATTTTTACAGCATTGGGGATTGCATTTCCTGATTATTTGGTGACATTGTAGAGCATTTGTAATACTTTTGAATCTGAATATCTACATCAGTTTGTTGAGATGGCACCAAGAATTCAAATGACATCAAAGAACTTTTATTTGCTAGAAAAAGTACATGTTTTCTGTACAAAATTCCCATCCATGGCCAATGCATACTAATCGTGAACCCCAAAAACTCCAACTAGAGGCATCCCAAGCCTCATATGTGAATTTGTTTTGCTCATGCTAAGTATAAAAAAAACACTATAATGATGAATGTGTTAAATCTATTCAACTTTTTAATAAGAAAAATCTGAAGTTGAAGTCACAAAATATTGTTGGTTTATTTAATATGGAATGATATATTATGACATGTCTCTAATTTCTACATAGATACATTGTATTTATTTTCAATTTTTCTAGTTAAATTGTTTCTCTATATTACATAGGATCCATTATTGTATATAATTAGGTTATAATAAAATTTGTATTTTATATGAATATTACTATGTTATGAAAATTGAGATGTGGTAGTGGGAGAGGGGCCTGTATCATAGATTGGTGGTGGGGGGCACAAGAAAATTACACCAGCCCTGTTTCTGTCTTAAAATTTTTATACTATAACATTAAGGATATTTTGAATAAACAGACTTACTGATTCATTAATTAATTCCTTAGTTAAGTTGGTAGTGTTTCCTTGTTTAATATTGGAGTACTTGAATTTTTTTCCAATATTTTTTTTTTATGTATCACTGTTGCTCTTTCATCTCATTGCCTCCCACCTTATATTCTTCTTTAACTCCATCATTTACAACAAATTCATCCTCATTTCCTGAGCACATTTGTATACTCATGAAATAATGATGAAGTATTATATAAGGATGAAATAAGGATTTTTCATTTTTGAAGGATGAGGGATGAAATCTTTATTTTCATGGGCAACTTAGAGTTGGGTAATAGTTAGTGATGGTAGACTGCTTGATTATCACTACTGAGCAGTAAATTTGATCATCAGTGAGTGTGAGTGTCCTATACAAAAATTCATTCAAGGATTGGCTATAAAATAAATCACCCTCATCTCAAAATATTTAATTTATTTCTTCATTCTTTTCTTTTACAAGTTTTCCTCCTTCCTCCTTTTTTGTCATATTCTTTCTATCCTTCTTAGTCTCATGAATCTGATTTTCACTTTTTGCTTCTCTTATTTAAATTACCATATTTGGATGGATTTGCTTATTGCCCAGTTCACAGTCCTTCCCAGTCTTTTCAACAGGAGTACAGATTATCCTTTGTTTTCTGTTTAGGATTGGGTTTCCAGCTCTTTCTCCTAAAGTCTTCTTTCATTTTCACAGATTAAAGTGTTGGTTTCACACCCAGTAACCCATTGCATCTTAGTGGCAGTATCACCTTGCATGGGGTGAAAATATTAAAAAAAAAAATGTTATTTCCTTTTTCTGTTATTTTACATTTTTTTTTCCTTTTATTACCTATTTATCCCCAATTTTTAATTCTTATTTCTCTTTCTCATCATATTCTTCAAGAACCCATTTTGGTAAAAAATCCATCATTTGAGCCTATGCTGGCACTTCTCTCTTCACTCTCCCTTGACATTTCTTCCCATACACTGTGAAGGTGAGCAGAGAAAAGAATTTCAAAATCAATGTTCCATGTTTTGCAGAGGCATCATAAAGAATAAAAATATAAATAAATAAAATAAAATGAAAAAAATATGAATGAAGAGTATAAAAAAAATAACCTGAGAGGAGTGACTAAAACCACCAATAATGTTTGTTATTTGTATTTAGTTTTACCTTATCTTCATGTTTTTTCCAACCACCTCCTATTCTTCTTCATTTTTGTGGATGTCAAGGTCTTCTCTACAGATGAAGTGTATAATGGTATTAATTCTGTGATGGAATATTTCTTGCATTGATCTCAAGATGTGTGACGCAAAAGGCAAAACTTAAAGAGTCATATCTGCCATCTTCAATTTCTATTGCCATTTCTTCTTTTGCTTTGCTCGTTCTTGATTTTCGCTTATGTTTTTTTAAATTTTATTTTACTTCCCCTATCCAAACACTTGGTCAGGTTTTTCATTCTCTCCCACTTTTATGTCTATTTTCTTCTAAGAATGTTTTATTTTCTTCCTTTCCTCTTTTCTTTTACATGCTTTAGAGTTACTTTTTCTGCTTCATTCTTTTCTTTTTTTTATTCTTTCATTCTCTGTTTTCCTTCGCTTTTCTTCAAAATTTTTCTTCTCAAAATATCTTTATTATTCTTTTTTTATTTGCTTTTCTTTTCTCTTTTACATTTGTTTTTTCTTAACTTTTTCCCATCTCTTTTTCCTTCCATTCTTATTCCCTTTTCCTTCCAACCTCTTTTCTTTCAATTTCTTCAGCTTTCCTACCCTCATTGTATTCTTTATTCTTCATTTCTTTTTTATCTTTTTGTTATGCTAATTTTTATTTCTTCTTTCCCAATCTTCCTTTCGTTTCATGTTTTATTTTGTTTTTCTTCCTTTCTCTTTCAGTGTCTCTTTCTACTTTTGACTCCTACTAACAACCTGCATCTATAACTTCTCCACTTGCCTCTTCCATTTTTCTTCAGTTATTTCCATGTTCATACTCTCTCTCTCTTTCTTTTCTCATTTTCTTTCATTTATCTTCCATTTTTTCTTATATTCTATTACATTTTCCCGTTTACCTTCTTTATATCACTTACTTTCTCTCTCATCCTTCCACTCATTTTTCTCACCTCCACTTCTCATTTTCTTTCAGGGTAATTTTTTTTATCTCCTATGAATGTTGTCTTCTTTCACACATCAGCACCAATTATCCTTGTTTTCTAATCAACAATCCTTCCATGTCCTTACTGTTTTTTATTCCTAATTTTCTGATTCCTAATTAGATCTGAAACAAAGTAAGTGGCATATGTGAGAGACAAAAAAATATTGCTCAAGCAGGAATCTCCACCTAACATGCTTTTTTAATAGCTGTACTTAAAAGACTAGCACAATGAAATTGTGAAAAAGATAAGTAAAAGTATTGTTACAGAAACAACTACAGATCTAATTAATTCATCTTTCTTTATCATGTAGGTTGTTGAGGCACCAAGACTTGATAAATGTGTTTACAAGAAGTTCAGGCGACAATGTGTTACTGAACTTCAAAGGAACTTAGTTAAAAAAAAACAAAAAAAAAACAAACTAATAAACATGTAAAATGCCAATCAGTTTCAGAAAATATTTTGGAAACCATTGATGGACAAGCCACAGTTTAGTCTTCACTTTGAGTTTTTCAGATTGGGAGCATATTCTTAAGATTGGATATTTACTTGGTTATTTCAACTTACAGAAATTTAGGAAAGCTTGGACCTTCTTGCCCACAAAAAAATAGTGTCAAAAGTATGGTTTTTCCATTGACACTGCTATCATTTTAACTACCTTCAGCAATGTTTGTTTTAAAAAGAGATGATTAGATTTGTAATAAAATGTAAACATATGAAAGTGAATTTATACATTTTCTCTTTTCTTGAAAATTGACAATAAAAATAATAAACATTCATTATTTATTAGATTGTTTCTTTACACTATTTATTCATTATATTGTTTATTAGAATGGTTAGCAAAACATCAAAAAAGCAATTGATTCAAATTTTCTAAAATTATAATAATAAGGATTTTCTTATAGTTGGTTCACATATTTTAATAATTTAGTAAATGTTTATAAATTTATGAATAAATAAATTATTTTCATACTTATTTTATTATAAATTGGTAAATGATAAATATTGCATTGCATTAGTTTTAATGCAATTGTATTAGTTTTTAGAATGTTGCAAACATAAAATTATTCTTATCATTAAACAATCTAATAAATAAATATTTTATTATTTTTTTGTCAATTCTCAAGAACAAAAAGAAAATTTATAAATTCACTTTCATCATATATTTAGATTTTATTACAATTCTAATCAAATTTTTTTAAAATAGTGAATATTGCCAAGGAGTGAAAGAAGTTAAAATAATAGTGGTATCAAATGAAAAACCGTCCACTTGACACTCAATTTATTTTCTGGTATGAAGGTCCAAGATTGCCAAAATTTGAATCTATACGCATATATACGTAACAATAACAAAGACTGTGTTTTACCAAAGAAAAAAAAAAGGTCAAATAAAAAAACGAAAAGGTAACCAGTCTTGTGATACAAATGCTCAAATACTTGATATTGAGCATTTTGCTATAAAGTCCCCTGTAAAGTGGGTAAAATCTCTAGAAAACTCAAGAGTAGGCAAAGATAAGTGAATATTTAAACCTTACTTGTTACAGAGAGCTTATGTAAACCATAATGTAATATATGCATAATACATAGTGTATATATGAAATGTTAATGACATCGGTTTACATTATGACTGAAAACTATTTTTAGTGTTTGACATTTGAAAAAGATGAAGATAGAAAAATATTGAGTTTAATGCACAAAACATGGCTTTTAATAATTCATCCACACTTCAACTTTAATGTCTATTTCATATGCTGTGTTATTGACTTAGTTTAGAAATAAGGTTATAACGATTGCTTCTATGTGTATGAAAAGCCATACAGTCATTGATTAATGAGCATTTAAAAGCAAAAGATTGAAGCTTTCAGATTTTGATAGATTCTCAGTAAAGCAGGAACTTCAGCCAGTGAAGGGAAATATAGAGCAATAAACTAGATTTAAGGAAAGTTTACAATGCTTATTTAATTCAACACTAATATGATCAATGTATTTGGTATGTGTTTGCATATGATGATGATATATATATATATATATATATATATATATATAAAGAAATATAGTTTTAAGGTGTGCTATATTTATGGGATAAAGTGCTCAATATCAGAGATAGAGCGCATGTAAATATAAATATAAAAGTGAACAATGAAGTCAACACTCAGAAGCAACAGGCTGTTTCATGTTAGATGCAATCGTCAGGCAGCCTGATGATTACATCTAGCATGAAACAGCCTGCCACCTCTGAGTGTTGACTTCAATATTCACCTTAATATTTATATATATATATATATATATATATATATATATATATATATATATAAATGGCTGAAATTCTATTTCAAGCAATGTCATCACTTTATCTATCCTCAAATATGAAGTGATTTTTTAGTCCTACTAGGGTTTTACATTGTCTTGCACAGAAGTGGTAACATGAGTTTAGCTGGTGTGTGCTTAGGATGCACACATCATATATATATATATATATATATATATATATATATATATATATATATATATATATACTAGCAGTAGACCCCAAGCGTTGCCTGTGGATGTAACAGTAAGAGATAGATCAAATACTGACCATCATAAAGACTGAAAAATAAAATTGACAAAGATTATTGTTTAAGGTTGATGGACACAGATGTCTTAATTATATTTTTTATTTATTTTTTTTTTTTTACGAATTGGTCAAACCCAAACTTAAACAAAAACATTGTTTTCAATCGTTATGAGTCTACCAATTGAATAGAATTTTATTATAAACAATTGTCTTGTAAATGGAATTTTTAAAGCATTCTGAATGTAAAAATAATGAAAAAAGTGTGCAAGACAATAAGAAACACTACCTGCCAAAAAAAAAGTGAAGTTTTGTTGAAATCGGTTGAAAATGTAGGAAATCCGATCCCATATATAAACAAACACACACACACACACACACACACACAAAAAAAAACAAAAAAACAACAACCTGGGTTTTATAATAAGTATAACTTGATATGAGTTGTCCCCCTTTCATCCTTGCGATACCTCTTAATTGTATTTTCAAATTGATTTCATGCAAAAACAATTGTGATTTTCCAATTTTTGGCACAGTCAGGACCACCGCAAGGTAATTTTACATAGTCCTGTGAAGTTTTGTTGAAATCCGTTTCATAGGAAATCCAATCAAATATATAAACGTACACACACACACACACACACACACAACCTGGGTTTTATAATAAGTATGATAATGTATGAATGATTAAATGAGGAACAAGTAGGAAAACCTTTATAGATTGAAACTATTTTAGTATTTATGTAGCTTGATCAGAATTTAAGTAAGATAATGTAGAATTGTTTCAATTTTTAAATTCTATGTTTTTTGTTTTCATTGGTTGGGTAGGCATCCTATGTTCATTTTATGGTATATGTATCTATATATCAATTTATATATATAAATATATATATATATATATATATATATATATATATATATATATATATATATATATATATAGAATAAAAGAACAAATAGGAAATGTAAACAGATCTAACGTTTGGCTTTTATTAAAGCTTCATTAGAGAACAAATTTATCTGGTATTTTTATTTTTGTGTTGGTTTAAAGTCTTTAACCAAATTTCATGTTCTTCTGACTGGTCAACCTCAAAATATAAATAATGCCTACTAGACACACACACACACACACACACACACACACATACATTATCATTTGTATCCTGCATAGACAAAATAGAATTATGATAAATATATACAAATAAATTATGCAAATAAAGTCTGCTTACCCAATGAAAATCAAACAATGCTAAAATAAAACTACCAGAAATTTTTTTCATATTGCATTCTCTAATGACGCTTTAATAAATGCGAAACATGTTAGATTTATAAATGTTTACTATATATTCTTTATCTAATCATTCTGTCAGATTCTGATTGGTATTTTATATATATGTGTGTGTGTGTGTGTGTAGGCAGGCAGAATGTATTCATCCAAACATATGTCTGTTTAATATTTTATTGTCTTTTTCCAATTTTCAAATAAGGTGTTGAGTATTGTGCTTGAAGTAAACTATAAACTATGAACTTCACACAGTCTATCCAGAAATTTGACCACAATACTCAATACCTTATTCAAAAATGGGAAAATACAATAAAAAATGAAACAGACAGACTTGTCTGTTCTTTTTAAGCACACTTATTTGTACACACACACACACATATATATATATATATATGTGTGTGTGCGTGTGTGTGTGGTATGAATTTATGTATAATTGCATGACTCTAGAGTAAAATTTATTTTCACTTATACATTTATTCCTGAATTGAATATTGTTTCTTGAATGGATCCCTCCTCAAATTTCCATCACACATATAAATTAATAATCATTCATGAATCTTTATATTTATGAAGATACAGTCCTTATAAGCATGCACAGATTTTTTTTGACGTAGACTCTTTTGAATTTCCTTATATTTTTTTTAATAATTTTCAGTTGATAATCATGATATACAGATATAGGGATATTATCAAAATAATGCTTCCAAGTTATTTCCATGGAATTTATAACAGATACATCAAGCATAATCACCCGAATGGATAAAGTAAGTTTTCACTTACAAGACACCATCATGGTTGAGCTGATTGTGTCACTTTTCATTTCATAGGTTGACAGCTGTCCAAAGTGATTTGGGATCTTGCTTGACACACACATCATTGTTGCCACAACTGACAAGCATTACCCACCCACTGACTAGGCTCACATCCACAGTTTGATCATTCAGGAAGCATCAGTGCATGTAATTTTTTTCACATCAAGGAATTCAATGATATACTTCTGTTTCATATGCACTTTCATGTCAGATGCCATTTTGCCACTGTTGTAACAAGCATGCACGTAAAATTGATAGGCGATAAAATTACCATTGAGAAAATTGCCTGAGTTTTGAATCTATTTACCTGATAGTGCTTTAGAACAAATTCAGAAAAAAAACGAAATGAGATTTTATAAACTAAAA